ATGGATATTGACTAATTGCAAACATCCAAACAAATGTTGGCCTGCTTTTGGCAACATGCAAAAAAAAAAAAACAAAACAAAACAAAAAAACCCACAAAAAAATCAGATTTTGTTTTGTACCACCTAGAAAATTGGAAGTCTTCCTTCTGTCACTCTACCCATGTTGACACCCAGAAGTCATGCCGAAAGGCAGACGTACTCTTTCCCAAATTCGGCAGTCTTGTAAAGAGTATTTTGGCGCAGGTACGAGGACTTAGCAATATTTATTTCCAATACTGCGCATGCAACACATACACATTTTTTGCTGATAAATATCGACATGATCAAGGACAGGTGAAACACCGATCTGCTGAAAAAGAGAAGCAAATGTGCACTGGAAGCCAAAAAGTACGTTTTGTGTAGGCACGACTGCCACTCTGGGTGGTTCACTCGCACGTCTGGGGGCTCTGCTCGTTCGAAATCCTACAGACATCACAGGAAGCTTGCCAGCTTCTGGGACAGGGTGGGAGCAGGGGAGAGGCCACAAGAGACGCTAGAAAGGCTGCGTGTCTGCAGGGACTACCGCCGTCCAACACGGGAAGCAGCCCGGGAACCTAGTGGTGCGGGCATTCCCTTCGCGGAACTGTTCATACGTTGATTTTAAACCACGACTGAAGATGTCCTAACAAACAGGGATGCTATGGGTGTGGAGTAAAACCACTGCAGACCTCCCCCCAGCCCCCGCCACCAGGGACCCAAATCTTCGCCCCTGCCCTGTACTGTTTCAGGACACACACAGCTCAGCTTCTAAATGCGCCTTCGCCCCGGGCCCCCAGCAGGCTCCGCCCACCTGCAGGACAGATGTGCTGGGAGACAGCCTGCATCCGCTGCCTGAGTCCCCACTCGTAATTTGAATTTTTAACGTTGAAGACAATTTTCCTTCTTAAGTACTGGCGAAAGGTAGTAGAAAATTTAAATAAGGAAATACAGAAATTACCCCAACTTCTATTTTGGGCTTTCTGCTGCCAGCAGGAATGGCTGATTGTCTCCAACTCATAATCATTCATGTCTTCTGGGGGCTGACAACAAAAATGGCATTCACCGGGAGGAGGAAAACATGAAACTGAGTTACCAATCCATGTACAACTCTGAATTTTCTGTAAAAATCAGCATTCTGAGGGGTTAGGATGAAGTTATGGGAAAATACACGACTTAAAAGGAAATTAACTTAGTTAATAGCCAATCCATTCTGGCAAACCACAGACTAATTTTGTATTTAAACAGAACCATTAAGAAGACAATGACAAGAATTTTGGCTTTTCCACGAAAATCAGGATTATGGCCAATGAATACCAGGCAGAAAGCATAAACAAAATGAAACCCATCTTATCAATTTTTTTTCTTTCTCTATTTAATTTTCCTTTTATTTTCAGAAGTGTTTACTGTAGATGAAAAAAAAAAAATCACTTCCCTTTTCCCTTGACCCAGACTTAAATTACCAAGGCTGGCCCTCCACCCAACTCAAATACACCTACCCTTTGCACAGACTATTATTTGAGAAGCAATCATTCTTTCTCAAAGCCATTTTAAAGCACTAGAGGACTTACAATGGTACAGTTTCAGTTCTGGGGCACAGCAGGAATAAATGGGCTTTTATTAAATGAAAATGCACCATTTTTGGAATCAGGGCAGCCTCTGGTGCAATGTTCTATTTCCTGGTTTTACAAATGCGCCCCGTATCCATACTTCCATGCATCTCACTGTGAGGAACATTCTAGACTGTCGCTTTGGCACCCTAGCAAACCGCCAAGTGCTGGTGCAGAATTCGTAAGAGGTTCTACTGCGGGTTCAGCGAACATGCATGGTGGAATGATGGGAGTGTCATAATTCCGCCAGACAGTCGAAGATTTCCTGCAGGACTTGTCTAAAGGATACGTAACCATCTGCAAGATGGCACCGTATCTTTCCCCATTTACTCAATCTCTTCAAGTGGAGAAAGGGGGCTTACTGGGGAAAAACTGTTTAAATGACTTTATGGGAACTTAACTTCCATTCCATAAAACTCGCTCACGTTAAATGAACAGTGCAATGACTTTTAGACTTTTCTGAGTTGGGCAACGCGCATCACCCACTTTTAGAATGGTTCCATCACCCCACCTCCCTCCTTCCTCTCAGGCTTCATCTCCAGCTCCCTTGCCCTGTTCCACAGCTCAACCCTCGGGTTCCTGTGCTGTCCCACGAACACGGCAAGCTCACTCCTGCCTCAGGACCTTTGCACCGACTGCTTCCAGGAACTGGAATGCTCGCCTTTCAAATTGGTGCAAGGCTGACTCTTTCACCTGCTTTAGACAAACATCTCTTTCTCAGCAAAACCTTGGTCTACCCTCCCGAAAACTAACAACAAAATACGCCCCCCCCCAACATCTCCTCTGTTCCAATCTTTATTTTTATCATCAGTTGTCACCACCTACCCTACTATACAACAGTGTTTTACTTATTAATCTTGTTGACTGTTTCCTCATACCCGCAACTGGCATAAGTGTGTGTGTCCACAAAAGCAGACATTTTTGTCTTTTCGTTCATTGATTATCCCCTGTGCCTGACACACACAGGAGCTTAACAACTATTTAATACAAAAGGGAACGAAACATGAGTGATGAGAAGGTGAAGACTCAAAACTAACTTTGTCTCTACTTTAAAGTTGCCCCAGGAAGGCATGAAGGCTCTTGGTGGATTCTACAAGTGGACGATGGCGATGCACAAGTCTGTGAATAGCACAAGTCACTGGACTGTACACGTAAGAGGAATGAGTCTGATGGTATGATAACTGTACTTCAGTACGGTTGTTAAACACCGTCTTCCCATTAAGGCCCATTTCTCCGTTTGATGAGATCTGAATAAGGTGCGGAAGCGTGTGGTGCCATCTTGTCAATGGTCAGGCTTCCTTTAGACAAATCCTAGAGGAGATGTCCTTAGCCGTTTAGCGGATCTATTCCATTTCCATAATTCCGTGATCCATCTTCACTGGAAAAAGAGTAGAATCTACTGTGTATTCCGTGCAGACATTTTTGGTTTGCAAGAACTGCAAGGACTAGAGTCTGGAATGCTTGGTGTTGGGTGCGTTTGGAAAATCAGGAAATAGAACAGCAGCGCAATGGTGAATGCTATGCTTCCCCAACACGGTGCATTCTCATTCAGCAAAAGCCCATTTAAATTTGAGTGGTGCAGCTCTAGTTCTAGACTATTCAGGTGCCCAGATATACTGGGGGCATCCCCGGACAGCAAGGCCTTGCGAGGTGCTCAGAATGGGTATGCCTCCCAGGCAGTTGGCAGCCACATGACCGGCCCTGGGAACTGTCAGTGGAGCTCTGCCCAGATCCCACCCAACCCCTAAAGGTATTCCACATCTGTCTCCAAAGGGCTGGCAACGGCTTCTGTCTGCTGTCTGTTTCTGCAGCCGTGACCTGGAAACACCAGACCAGGCAACCGAACAGACGGTAACACATTTGACCACATCGTGCCCGCATCGCATGTGAACCATGAAACCAAGGTGAAGACTTCTCAAGCCTCTTAGGGATCCTCGCCTCTGAACCCACTGTTAGTGATTTATTTCCCTGGCCTCTCTAAATCATCAGACGAATTGGAGACACAGTCTCAAGACAAGGTTTGATGTCTGTGATTGCACTTTTAAATTTGCTTCATGTGTTTGCCTCCATGGAGGGGGAAAAAAAAAAAAGGCACCTTTCCTTTCCTAAAGGCTCTTTTAAAAAAAAAGAGTTGAAAGTGTACAACATAAGGTGTAACAGAATCCAAATATTAAATGATTTCGGTTGCAAGCTTTCCACTTCTGAGACCAACAATGACATCGACAAAGGGTTTGCAATATGACGTAGTGAGAAACGGACAGACTGGCATCAACACATACATTTCCCCAATCACGCAACAGAAATGGGAAGTGATAGCAGCCAGCTCAGACCCTCCCTTCGTGAAAGACGTAGGACTGATGGGACCCATCTTACATCCTTCATTAACATCACAAAGCATTTTGTTTAAAATCAATCTAGGGGCGCCTGGGTGGCTCAGTCGGTTGAGCGACTGCCTTCGGCTCAGGTCATGATCCTGGAGTCCCGGGATCGAATCCCGCATCGGGCTCCCTGCTCCGCCGAGAGTCTGCTTCTCCCTCTGACCCTACCTCCTCTCATGCTCTCTCTCTATCTCATTCTCTCTCAAATAAATAAATACAATCTTTAAAAAAAATAAAAAAATAAAAAAATAAAAAATAAAATCAATCTAAATTAGCGTCCTGTACCAGGAGAACTGTCGGGGAGTACGCGCACGAGCTCACCAGCCCCTAGCTGTGACATGGGTTCTTGCAGCAGACGTGGAGTGAACAGAGAAGGCACAGCCCACTAAGCATAACTGGAGAAAATACACATGGATGTATTGTTTGTTATCGAGTCCAGGGACGTCCTTCCCCTAGTTCCACTAGCACACACGAAACTCACCAGAGATGTCACAGCATTAGCAGTCACGGGATGCCAGAGGCTTTCCAGTAGCAACGAGATCAGAACCGAACAGAATTAATAGCAATGACACAGGGGACCCGGAGTTCAAACTCTGGGTGGTATGAAGCAAAAGAGATTAATTCACACTCAACAGAACCATCGTTTCAAGAAAGGCTGCACAGTCTCCAGGAGCTCAAACCAAATTCTTCTCTCCAGAAATTAACTGAAAGGTGACTAAGGCAGAACATCTCGAGGCAAAGACTGAACACGAGTTGGTAACGGAAAACCACCCCTTCCGAGTTGAGAAGACCCCATTCTGTTATCTTGTGCGATGTTGTGAAGGTAAAAGGCGGGTGACGTTCTGAACCAGACGCTCACACACACGTGGTCCCGTCGGCAAGGAACAGCAAACCACCTGCTGACCAAGCATACACACGGACAGGGCAACACCACGGCTCCGCACCGCAGGTGTGCCCGGCAGGGAGGTGAGCGTGGGGTCAGGAACGCGGCACCAACCTTTGGAGGAGCGGAAGTGTTTGCTGGGGGCCGTGAAGCCTCGGGTCCCATGCACGTTGACAGCCGCCACTCGGAACTGGTACCACCTGCTGGGTCGTACGTCAGTCAGCCGGACCCGCTCATCTGTGGTCTGCAGAGAAAGGTCACAGAGCACAGAGAACCCTTTTACCCAGATGTGCCAGTCGGGTGTGTCTGAGAAGCACAGCACCTGGTCAGCCGGCACAACGCCGCCCAGACCTCCCTGTGCTCTTGTGGGTAAGGGCGGTCGTCGTGCTCAGTTATGACAAGAGCTGTCGGGGCTCAGGGAATTTCTAGGGCATTTCAGGTGTCTAATTCCACTCGTAGGGACTGCACCCCAAAGAGTTAAGGATCTCTGGAGCCAACGCTAGGAACATGCCTGGGCTACTTACGTCGGGTGACTTAACGTAGCATTAAACCCACGAGGGGTTTCATCACTCAATTACACATCTGAGCAAATGTATACGTGAGCTGTTCATTCCGTGATAGGCAAGAATATGAAATCATCTGCCGGTTACAGAAAGGAAATGCCTCTCGAACGTGCTTGCCAAACAGGGTCCTGGAAGTCGGTATGAGGACCCACACTCTTCAAAGAGCGCTAACAATTTCTGGAAGTACATTGCAATCCAAGCCTTTCTTCCTTATTTGAGTAAACCGGGTTAAGATCTGCGAGGACCCGGTCGTGTTCCTCCAAGGTGAGGTGTGCAGCCATCTGTCTGTCCGAGAAAATGCCCACAGGAATAAAACTGGACACCGGGGAAGGTGCCTAGTTTGGCTGCCACTCCTGCTGGAGTCGCAAAGCCGCGCTCAGGGCATGAACATCGTCAAGTGAAATTGAACCCAAACCCTCCCAAACCCTACGCTGAAATAACCTCTTGAGAGGGGCTGTCACCTTTGCTTTAGTATCTAAAAGGGAAGGCTCTGAACTCTTCAAGGGGGCTTTCTACCTCGTTTGGCGGAATGTGAGGCGACTATTTCACGGACCTCAACATTTACTCTTCGCGGCCTTCAGGTTAAAAAACTGAAGTCACCATGATCCCCACAGCATTTAGCAGACAAAGAAAGGAAGGTGGAAGGAAGACAAAGGAAGGCATGAACCAGTGAAAATAATAAAAATAAAGGCCTTTCCTCTCTCCAAAATAGAAGGGATATAAGAGCTGATCTTATTGTCATTTACTTTCATAAATCTTAAATAATTTGGAAAATTTGTGAGATCATACCATTAAGGAAGCATACCATGTAAATCAAATAGACTTTTAGGCTGTATGCCAGACATCTTTAGGTGTTATTAAAGCGAATTTTTTAAGAAAATACGTATGAAATAGAATCACTAAATTTATTTGACCAGTGGTTGGGTTTTTGGTTTGTTCTTTTTTTTGCCACTAATTTGTTTCTTGTACATCAAATTGCCCCTTTCTTTTGGGGTCTCTAAATTATTTTAGTGTTTATCCTCTTTGAGATACTACTACTAGAAAAGAACCAAATTCCTCCTGCCAACACCTGTATACTGAACTGTATTTCGTATTTACTGAAAAGGAATAATGGGAATCTCTCAAGCAAAATGACCCGATCCCCACCAGGTCAGGGTTTCTGCCCACAGACACATTTGGAGAAGGCACTGCAGTTGCTGAGGGCATGAGGTGGTTTCACATTGAGAATCTGTTCTTTCTCTAAAACCGTGTAGGTTTCTTGCAGCTGGTAGTCCATTTAGCAGCTCTTAAAAAGAAAGAAAATATTTTGCTTTTCTCATCGGCAAGACAGAAAAGGAAGCCGCAGCGCTAAGATAAACCCCAGGACTGCTACCGTGCAGGTGGGGTGTCGGTGTGTGAGCTGCCCGGGACGCAGCAAGCACTTAGCAAGGACTGAGGACTGGCTGGGTCCCTCCCACCAACTAGTTGGGTGATAGGAATTGTACTCCATGCTACTCAAGTCCTCGTGTAGAACGAAGGCTTCGATGCAGAAGAAAACCAGAAGTCATTTAGATGATCCAATATCACATGAACTCGTCCTAATGCTGTTGCATTTCTCTTACTGGGGTCGGTTTTAAGTTTATCTCAAGGAAATACACTTCTTGGAGGAAATAAATGTGAACACTCAGAGAATGATCTCCCTTGCACGTGTATTTTGAGCAAAGGAATCCAAGAGTCAAGCTCCTCGCTGCACCGGGTTGTAGCTACGGAGCTCATCCTGTCTTCTGTAGATGCGTGGGCCATGACGTCCACGTCTGACTAAGTCATTTGGGTAGTCGGGCTATTTTGGCTGAGGCACAGCCAGTTAATTTTCTACCTGCGGGTGTGCGGTAGACGTTACCTCAAGGGGGAGGGGAGGGAGTCCATGAACCACTTACCTGGGCTACCGTCTGCCACTGTGTGGCATCGTCTTCGCTAGGATGGATTCCATAATTCCATCTTCTTTGTACCACGTAGATCACGGGCTCGATGGAAATATTGAATTTCGAGGACCACTTAATCTCCAGCTGTCCAGACTGCAGTTCTGTAAATCGTAACTCTTTTCTGGGCTTCAGGGGGACCCCTGAAACAGGAGTACGGCAATGAAAACAATCGGCGGGTGACGCCAGGGCCGGTCAAGCTGAGGAAGAAAACCTTTAGAATTCTACGGCCCATCTCATGTCACGACCACTGATCCTCACTTCCCTCCAGAAAGGGGGTTCCTCCCCGGCAGGGTTCAAGTTTGAAACCTTCTGACGCGGAGGTCAGCCCGCCGCATTTCAAGAGCATCACCTCCTTTCCTTCTAGTTTCCCATTTTTTAAAGAGGCTCTACATCGGGTCCTGTTTCGGGACAACTATTTTTTTCTCCCCAGTCATCTCGGCAGCAATTCTTTTACGCGCGTTCTTCGGAAGAAGCAAAGTTACTGAGTTACATCACTGGAGGTTAACAAGGAATTCACATGAGGCCACAGTCACAAAGGCTTTGAAGACCCTGTCCCCATTTACCACGCTCTGTTTCTACTGAGAGAGTCTGAGGTCATTATAATGTGCTCCCCCGGTTTGCTCGCCTCTCCCGCCTCCGAAAGTTTGCCTTTTAAGGGAAAAAATTATCAGGCTAAATGCTCTCATGTGGTCAGACCTTCCGAGAATGATTTCCAAAGCATAGATCTTTTGCATTCCCCAACTGATTGCAGGGCTCTCTCCTATAGACTTACGGTTTTAAAATTGGAAAATGATGAATTTATACTGTTTGGTTTTGGCACGAGTGACCGCCTTGCTTCAAAAGTCCCTCACAGGTGTCTCATTTTCCAGTAGTTAATCATTCTGATTTCTTTTCCCCCCTACGGTGCATGCAAGTGGTCTGGCGACTGACAGACTGAAGAACCAGAGTTCAAAATCATAGCCGTTACAGAAAGGGAAGTTTAGAACAAAGTTCTATACTCCTATGTATGTAAAACTAACTGGATTAGGTAGAGTCCGTGATGTTCGATGCCATCAGAACCTTGAATGCCAGCTGCTATTAATATCAGTTTCTCCTGAGAATGAGCATCTGCCCAACGCACTGACCACTCATTTGAACATGGTATTTGATAACGCTCTACTTCTTTTTCCATTTCTTCCATTTAAGCAGAAAAGACATTGAAAAATGTGCAAATACAAAATGTAGGTACTATCTGATGTATGTTAGCGATGTCACCAAGTACCCACTCTGATTTTCACTTGGATCTTAATTCATGCTAAGTCTTGTTGGCGGGAGGGGGCGGATTCTCAAGTCTTTACACATTTAGGTGGAGGGAGTTGCAGAGTCTTAAAGGAGCAGCAAATAAATCTGGTCAAAGGTCAGTGGGTTCTACAGAATACCTTCTAGAAAACGCATTCCCCCTCCCACTGCAGTCTCTGCTTTGATTTGCTGATGGGTTGCCTCTGTACGTTGCCCTTCACTGTAACAACCTGGGTGCCTCAACTGGTCCTCACTGTGAGTTTGTGCTGTGGGTGAGGGGTTAATTATCTACATGGGGATATATCAAGTAATTGAGTCTGGGGAAGATTAAGTTGCCAGGAGCAATGAACCTGATCTCAGGTTCCTGAGTTTTCGGCTTCTTTCTACATTTTGAATTAGGAAGGGCCACTTACAAAAGGAGGGAAAAGGGGCAGTTTTCACAGCTCTGCACAATCCTGAAAGATGCTGATTCAAATGCCCCTGATGCCCCTGCTTGGTGTGGAACAGGTCTCCCCTTCTGCCGCAGCGTGAGGGTTTTTTCTAAGTTCGAGTCGTAAGCTTTTCTTTGCAGTGCACAACCTTACATTAGGAGTCCCGTTTACTTTTGTGCCTGGAGTACTTCTGCTAAAGCAAGGGACTCACAAATCTGTGCCCAGTCCCCATCTGCGCTGCAGGCCCCACTACCGAAAGAACTTCTCGACACAAGTCCCGACTCAAATGCCCCTCCTGAGGGTGTCCCCTCCCCCAGCGACAGCTTCATGACCACTCCATGCTTTTGGATATAGCTAAGAGAACCTTCCCACTTGTTCTCGGACCCACCAACATCTCTCTGTGGGACTGCAGAGCGTCACTTCAGGAAGCCTCCCATCCTAAGTCCCCGCAAGCCCATCCTTTTCTCCAATTCCCTCTTCACGGTATTTTGTGATGATTATTTTCCTAAAGTAGAGGACAAGATGGTCTCCTCCACCTTCTCCAACTATTCAACTGCATCCCATTTTCTGTGGAATGAACACATGTCACGCCCTCCACGTCACGTCAGATCTTTCCACTTACCTTGTGGCACATTTCACATATTGGTCACACAACGTGCTTTTAAACCCAGCTTTTCTAGAAACACACTGCCAGGTACTTCCTACTACTACTAGATACTTTCAGTCTGGAATGTCTTTCCTCCTACTTTCTGACTACGGATACGTGAATACTTCCAGGCTCAGAGCGAATGCCGCTGCTCAGACCTACTTACCCTAAAACCTCCCAGTTGGAAATAAAGCTTGCATTCTTCTGCCCCCTCTTCGAAGCTCAGCCTGTAACTGTCCAAGTGTGCGCTGAACTGCCTCTTACTACAGAAGCTCCTTGGATGATGTCTGTCTTCCCCCCGAAGCTACAGACCCCAGCCCTCAAGGAATAGGTCTCCTTCATTCCCACACCTCACAGTGGCCCAGGAGAGCACATTCCGCAAGAGCAAATGCTCAGGAAATGTCTGCTGAAGAACAGCCAACCTACTCTCCCATTCCGCACTCCAGAACGTAACCGCGGAAATAAGAGGATACGGAAACAGTGACCCAATCTTTACACCAATGGCCAGCCCCTCTCTGCTGGAGGGCACTCACCTTAGGGAAAGGAGAAACCTTAACACAGGTATTCGCTTACCCTTACGTTTTTAAAAACGCAAATACTAAATAATAATACAATAAAACTCTATTAGTAAGTTTAGAAGACGGAATGAATAGTTTTATTGCATTGACAGAACTTTCCCGGTTTAAAAAAAGACCAATTCCTGACAATTCCTGATAGGATGGAAATCCCAAAGTGTGCTGATGACTTTTAATCCAGAAGTAGCTCTCCAAAGACTTAGGTCAAGAAGAAAAGCTACCAAGGCTCGACAAAATGATTGCTTTGTATCAGGTTTGCATTCCAGGCGGGTCCTAGACACACTTTCTACCGAGGGGGTGTGTGAAGAGAGGGTGGCCTCTGAGAACACTTTGTGATTCACGTGGTTTCTTAGTGCACAGAGAAGAGAAGATGGCTGCTTAGTGCTCTGAACTCATAAAGCCCGTTCTCTGAGATTTCCAATGCAAGTTTCTCCTTGGCTGTCCTATGCATAATCCTCTAGTGTAAATGCACCTCCAGTACATCCTCCAGCCGCTGAAGTAACCTGAACTCATCAGCAGCAAAGCAAGCATCTGAATCCCCTTGCTGCAAGGTTTTAATCTTGAATATCCTTCAACTACCTAGAGCCTTAATCGAACATAATGACCCTCAGAGCCACGTCAGTTTGCATTTCTTCATTTAACAATCTCGTCGATTATTATGTACAACAATCTTACCATTTGCATGTTGAGAAATGGTCCATCTGCTTTGCATTAGGGTCAGCTGGCTCCCTTGATTGGGAGTAACTCCAGCACTCGGCTGTAATTGTGTGCAGATGGGGCTTGGCCCCCCAGCCCCCGGGACCCCAAGCCCCCACTGCCAGGCCTTCTGCACAGTGCTTGGGAGCTCACCCAGCACCCTAGTTGTGTAACCAGATGTGCAGAATGCATGTGTCCTCGGCGTGTTATTATGGAAATGACTAGACTTTTCCTTCTTTCAATTATTTTTGAACAAACGAGTCATCTGAAATCCACACTATTCTGTCAAAAATGTGATCATCCCACAATACGTGGTAATATCGGCGCATTGTCTTTAAAGCATCACAAGTATTGTGGTGAAACTCAATGGCTTAAAAAAATGGGAAAACATGAGAGAAAACTCAATGATCAGAATCAGCAGTTGCAAATCATGACATTTGATTATTCCTGTAAAAACGTTTCTGTCAGGAGTCTAGATGCTATGGAAATGTACCTAGACATAGTGTTCCAATGATTCAATAATTAACCCTCAGTCGGTATCTCTCCTAGAGGTCATCAGTACTCATGGAAATTGTGTTCACATACTATTAAGGTACTGAGTCACCGTATTCAAAATGCTAAAAAACTGATTTGTGAATAGTGGGATTAGTCCATGTCTAGAGACCTGAGGTTTCAATATTTCAGATATGAAGCAATTCATAGAAATATTAGGTCCACACCGTCATCGGATCTTCCAATTTGTTTGGAAGCAAACTGATGTGTGATTCACTTTAGTTTATGCACAGGGCAAAGAGAGGACGGAGAGCCACAGATTAATGTCAGTCTTTACACGTGGAAAACAACTGCAGCTCTTCTCCTGCCCTACCCTAACCAAATGCCATAGCGAGGGTCAGGAGAAGCAGAAGTTTGGGCGGTAAAGTAATAGATCATCTTTGGGAGGGAGGAGAGTTGAACTCTGCTGTAAATCGGCCTTCAGATAGGCCAGGGGGGAGCATCAAAGGGAAAAGAAGTGTCCGGATATGCAATCGTTTCATGTTGTACACCTGTGGAGAATCAGCCTCTTAAACTTTCCGCAATGAGGCTAAGGCTTGCGCTGCAGGGAACTGTCAGCTCGGGTGGCATTTACCACCCTTAACACTGGCCCGTTTTGCAGGAAGCTGCTAACAATTTTATTTGGAGGGCAAAGTGAAAACGCTGTGTCGCTCTCCTCTGTTTTAAACTCGAACACCGAGTAAGGTTAACTTACTCAGAGGCCTCAGCTAAGGATAATTCTCACGGCATACACCAAATTAAATGCTCAAATAGAATGCATTCCGTTGAACATCTTTTCAAGAGATGCATAGTTTTTAAAAAGCTCCAGTTTGGGGCGCCTGGGTGGCTCAGTCGGTTAGGTGCCCAACTCTTGATTTCAGCTCAGGTCATGATCTCAGGGCTGTGAGATCGAGCCCCCTGTCAGGCTCTGCGCTCAGCATGGAGTCCGCTTGAAAGATTATCTCCCTCTGCCCCTCCCTTGCACTCTCTCCTTTCTCCTTTCTCTCGCTCTCAAATAAATAAACCTTAAAAAAAAAAAAAAAAGCTCAAGTTTGCAGCATCTAAAGTTTTAGAAGCTAGAACATCAAGTATGTCTGCCATCTTCCCTATACCACAAACACAGGAGGCCAAAGACAAGCATTGCTTCTGTATTTTAAAAATTTTTAACTAACCCTATAAGCAATCAAAAAAATAGGATAGAGTCTGGCACAAATCAATTTATTGCAAAAGTTGAGATAATTATTTGTGCGCAAATGGGCATTACGTGTATGACTACCTTGCTAAGGACGTCCTGCACCGGGAAGGGGCTGGTATCAGACGGATGTTGTACCCTAACCACGGACACGTCAGTGATTTTATCAGAGTAAAATGTTTGTTTGACATTGATACATCTTTGGATGGACCTAAACTGTATTAATACCATGGTTTAGGGCCCAGTATGATAGTTGGATAGACTCAAAAGGGAAATAAACGACAGCCGGCCCAGCCGGGAGCCAGGGTCACACGTATTCCCGCTACCCACAGTCAGATCACTCGAGCAACGGCTTGCAACCTCAGCTTCAGCCCTTGTGGCCTGGAAGCAGGACCAGCCCATCCCAACCCGCGATGAGGCGCCCCTTCTACGGAAAAAGATGGCACACAGGCCTATAGCACGAGCAGAGACAGGAGGGCAAGCTGATCTCCCAGGCTTGGCTCGGGGCAGTAAGGAGGCAACGTGCAGGCAAGTGGGATGGTGATGGCTGGGACTCGACAGACTGCTGAGGGTGATTCGTGTGCAGACTGGCCGGCTGGGTAAGTGTGTTTGTCCCTGCAAGGCCAAGGACCGTCTCCCCGAGACACACGGGCTGTCGGCCCCACCATCCTCTTCTGAGAGTGAGCACGCACTGTGAGTCCCGGGCAGGAACGTGCTGAGACGCTTCAGGTGGCTCGGCAGCTCGGACTGTGGCAGGGAGCACCACGGCAGCTGTGTGGGGACCCCTGTGGCTCACACACGCCCACTCAGTGGCGCTGTCAGACACCCCCCCACCCGGACGTGGAAACCAGCCTTCCTTCAGGGACTGTTCAACAGAGCGAGGGCGATATACCTACATGTACCCATGTATATTTTCGAAACAACAGTATTATTATCCTAAGCTCCCTAGGCAAAAGTCATCATCAGGTCAACAGTCTGTTTATTCTATTTCTAGTTAGTTCTCCATGAATGACCCGTCTCCGCCAAAAAAAAAAAAAAAAAAAAAAAAAAACAAAAAAAAAAACCCAAGAGCTACTTTATAGAAGAGGAACTTCAGGACTTAAAAAAAAAAAAAATCCATCATATTTAGTTAAGCGTAGGTTTAAATGGCAAGTCTCTTTTAATAATTAATCATTTTTGCTGGCCCTTTGTAGAATATTTCCCTTATTCCTGGTGAACCACACATATTTGAAATTCATACTGACTCTTCAATGCTTTTAAAATAAAAAGCATCTTTTAGTTTACATTGCCTCTTTCGAATACCCCACTTTAAAACACTGAGGGTTTTACAAATGGCTTTTCAACAATCATTCTAAAAGCATTCTATTTTTATGGTAAATGCTAATACTTAAATAGTGAATGATCTATAACAACAGAAAAGGCTTCCTAATAATAGACTTTAGAAAAATTAAATGGTGTTGGGTTTTGCAAAAGTGATTTTATGTAGTTTATAGTGAGAGGCATGAACACGATAAAACTTTAAATCCATTAAAGAAACATCACCTGGTAAGAAGGGGAAAGCGGTGATTATTCTGAATTGGAGACGTAATATTTATGCCAGGTTTCCCAAGGTCTTATGCAAAAACAAGGAAAACGGGATGGATGACACAGATTTGAGGCGAGAGTTCATTCCAAGGGAGTGCGCCAGAGGCGGGGGGGGGCAGGGACGTGAGATCTGGGAGATGAGGACCGTTGTGGTAGTGAGACCAGGCTTCTGTCAACAATTTCGCCAGCACATGATTCAACACCAGCCCTGCTAGCAACGCCGTTTTATGCACTTTAAAAATAACTGACCTATATTTGGAAATCATATACATTTGGTGTGAGTGGATGAGAGAAGGAGGGACAGAGACATTACTCTTTCTACCGGCAGTGAAGAATGCCTAGTGATGAATTCTATTTGATTCTTCATAGGAGACCCTAAAAAGCAGCAAAATTTTGTCTCCTAGGATACTCTGAGGGTATCCCAAACTGGGCATAATACAACAGAATCGGTTTGGCATAAAAGAACGGGGTCACAATTACGGAAAGAGGCAAGTTAACGCTTAGGATCAAGGAGTTAAGGGCTCTAGAAACTGCCTATGAATGTAAACTCTTACATCTGCTAAATTGTTTGGTAAACTGAATCCCCATCTTTGGAAGAGAGCTATTCCTCCATCTGGGTCCTCAAGACACTAATCAAAATATTGAAAGTCCTCACAATGACACTTCTGTTCTTGGATTATGCCAAGAGGAAAACCACGACACCCGTGCATTTGTTATGCATTTTTCAAGGGTGCCCCCTCCCCAGCCTATTTTCCAGGGATTTAAATCGATTTGCTCCCATGTCCCCAGTGCCGCTTAACTGATTGACTCTTCGTGGACAAAAGCACAAGGAAGTTCCTGAAGTGATGTTTCCTTCCTACACGTTACATTTAGTAAGAATGATTTGCTCTGCCCCAGAAGGAGTTCGTCACGGCTGATCTGTATGGCCCAGTAATAGTTCCAGACGTGTCTGTGTGGCACAAAGTGCATTTTCTTACCGTTTTTCTTCTCTTGCAAGGATGCCTTCTTTGACTGACACCCTTCCCCACGCACACAACCCTCCCATCTTTGACTGACACCCTTCCGCACGCACACAACCCCCCCATCTTTGACTGACACCCTTCCCCACGCACACAACCCCCCATCTTTGACTGACACCCTTCCCCACGCACACAACCCCCCCCATCTTTGACTGACACCCTTCCCCACGCACACAACCCCCCCATCTTTGACTGACACCCTTCCCCACACACACAACCCTCCCATCTTTGACTGACACCCTTCCCCATGCGTACACCACTCGCCCCCCCCCCCGCCATGAGTTGGTGAATTTCCGTTCACACGGCCTCTGCGCCTTACCTTTGTACAGTGTCTTGGGCACCTGGCAGGTGTGTCCACATCCGTTCGAACAACATTTCTTCACCCCAGAGCACTCACTGTCAGCTTCACAACTTTCTACACAGGCGGCGGCAAATCCGCTGGCTTTCTCAGGAGCCGGGCAGTCCCCCTGCTTCACCGACAGGATGTACTTGAGGAACTCACAGCTAGTCAAGCATTCATAGTTCTTCTTGGGGAACAGAGGCTGAAGACAGAATAGGAAAAATTCTCTTTTCTAAGAATTTTATTCTTTTAAGCGATCTCGACACTCAACGTGGGGCTCGAACTTACACCCCCAAGATCAAGAGTCACATGCTCTATGGACTGAGCCAGCCAGGCGCCCTGAGAAGAAAACTTCTCTTATTAAAGACACAGGATGCCCGATTTCCAAGGCATCAGAAAGGAAGGTAAAAATTCTTACTTGGTCAAAATTTCCCTGGAATGTCTTACAAAATAAATGGATTTGTTTTCTTTTCCCCCTAAAGAAGTAATATTTTATGCTAATTTCTGAAAGGAATCGGACCCATGAGTTATAACTTTGTACTGCATGCAACAGATACACATCAATCATACGTACACACGTTCACAAGGTGTTACGTACTCAGTGAAATGCAGTTGTGAAATAATTGATCATGTTCACAAAGCATCTCAGTACAATTTGAGGGCCCCTTCTGGACTACTGGACACATACACAGATTTTCATTCTCTACGGAGTCATTTTGGTTTGCGTGGTAAATGGTAACCACAATGGCCTTAGCTGTGGCCCTACAGAAACCGGGTAATTCTCACAGCAGTAACATTGGCTGATAGCTTATGAAAAAGGAGTCTAACCCTCAGTTCATTGAACCTGTTTTAAAATACTATCCAGCTTCTATAGCTTATGTGCGCATGGGCCCTCTTATCAATATGGAATTATCAATAAATGATGAGATGAAAGAATGTGAATCCGTGTTACCCGTGTGACACAGTCAGGTTCTGAACAGCATCTGGCTGATGGCATTTCAGTGGAGCCCAGAATCAATCACACACTAGTGACAGCAGGTATTCCCGGATTTATTGAGAGACTCGCATTGTGGAAAAAGCATGAGGCATGGAAAGAACCAGTCACCAAATGCATCTTTCTCCTTCGGAAAAATGGTTCAGGACAGCATTTGGTTATCGCTCCAACGTGAGAAGCAATCGGAGGATAAGGGCTTCTTTCTGCCGCTCAAGTGGGGAGCTGCTGAGGGTCCCTGAAAGCAGCCCCACACAGAAGAATGACCTCCAGGGATGGCCCTCCTTTTGTTGATGGACGATGGCTGACAAGGCAATCGCTGGCATCCTAATGAGCGTACCCCTCCTTTTGCCTTGATAGCTGCTTGCCGAGATTGCTACCCTAATCCTAAGCCAGTTCCTCTAAGCCCGTGTTCTTCTGCAGCACACCTGTCCAGCCAGGCAAAAATCCCAGCCCTCCGTCCATCCCCTCTATGTAGGGTGCCACGTCACCACTAAAGCAAGTTTCCAGGCAGTGGGTACGGCACTCCCACACCCTCCTTCTCCTCACCGGCGGGACACGGGCAACGCCACAGGCCTATCCGAGGCCAGAGCCCCGAGACTGGCATGCCGAGTGACACCTGGAGGGGGTGCGTGGAGGCCTGCCTTGGACGGCCCCCGCCGGGCGCGCAGAGTCGGAACTCGCGTGAGGCCGCGCTCGGTTGGCGGTGACAACTCAGTCCTCCCGGAGCCGTGCAAACAGCGGCATCTGGCGCTCCGGTGAAGCCCGCGCTTTCTCCACACCGGACAGAGGAGATCATCAAGGAGGGTACATTGTTTACTGTCGGATGTCAAATCCGAGTCGGGACAGAAGAGATCCGTATGGCAGCACGGGCGAGCACAGACCAGGGGTGGAATGTGAGCATCGGGTGGCTACAAGCCAGGACATGGATGAGCCCCCGGCACTCATGACTGCCAGCACCCGGTCCCACCTGGGATACACCTGCATAACACCTGGTAACACCGGCTGCCGGACGGCTGCCTGTGGCTCTCCACCATCCGGTGACACCTGGTTAAGGCCTGCCAGCCCGCGGCCTGCGCCTTCTCACCAATGAACTCTGACCCTCCAGTGAGATCGCTGATCCCCAGGGAACCCGGTGGGAGGACGTTAGTGAAGGGTGAGGGCTACTGGCCAGACAGCATCTCACACAATGGGAGAGGTGTGTTAACACGGGGTTAAAAAGGAAAGGAAAAAAGTCTCACCATCATCCAAGTCCCTGGTTTAAGGAGTGGGGAGGACAGAAAGGAAGGTCTCTACCTCGTTTCCAAAAAGACGGTTAATTACAGGCTTGTTACTTTGCATGCTGATGGTGACCAGAAATCTCACTGAAAAGCCCAAACATGGTGACTTCAGCACGAGGACCTATCCCAGGGACTCTGGATAACTCCATCACCAACGCAAATTGTTCTATTGTACTTCTCCTGCTTCGTTTCCCAAACAATGTTGCATTAAATCTGCCTATGGGGGCGCCTGGGTGGTTCAGTCAGTTAAGCGTCTGACTCTTGGTTTCGGCTCAGGTCATGATCTCAGGGTCCTGGGATCGAGCCCCGAGTCAGACTCTGTGCTCAGCTTGGAGTCTGCTTGAAGATTCTCTCTCCCTCTCCCTCTGCCCCTCCCCCTGCTTATGTGCGCTCTCTCTCTCTCTCTAAAATAAATAAATCTTAAAAAAAATTAAAAATCTCTACATGAATTATGATGGTAAATGCTACATTATGTGTATTTTATCACAATTGAACAAGAATCTGTGTCAGAGCGAGACACGTGTGTATCCCGTGCCGTTTCAGACAGTGGTGCTTCCTAATAGACACAAGGTCTTTCTGATATAGTGTCAAATTAATGTTCTTCGAGGTGTCAATTCCATACGACCATTAAATACAAGGGAAGAGCTCACACTCTAACAAAAGGTGGAAAACTGGAAACACTAGCTAGAAAAAGTACAACGCCAAAGTTTAAATGACAATCGCGGACGTCAAATAAATTATTCCCTCTCAGTCAGAAGAGTGTCTCAATCTAAGAACTTTCCAGGTAAAACTTACAAGGAAGGCCATGGCTTCAGTATTGAAGTACCACACATTTGTAGATAATTTTTAAAAAATGCTGTAACATCGAGAGCATCCATTCTTTACGCTTTTCTCCCTGACTCGATTTCACAGTTCATTTTTCTGTGAGCTGCTAAGATGTGTTTTACCTCGTTGACTTTTGAATCTCTAAATTTAGGTCCAACCCTAACTTTGGAATCAAAGAAGTATGTGAAGGGAGCTATATAACAAGTACAATGCAGCGCCTGCTAGTGTTCCTCTTTCCACAAAATGTATATATTACAACGCGCTGCAAGTACTTAGTCACCCAAATCACTTAGCCCACATGGGCTGAAATTTCCAAGGAGAAATACTTTTATTAAATCTGGCAAGTGTTTACTGCTTGCTCACTAGGAAATCACCATGACTTAGTTTGCGCCATGGTATAATCAGATCAGCTCCATTCAAAGCTTCCCATGTGAACACAGGGTAGGACTCGAGATTCAGATAACAAAGTATGGGCTGTCTGCTCATGTGATTCTAATGATCTGTGTGCTACCCACCACACCCTTGAACCGTGAGGGACAGGAACGCAGAGACGGTATCTCCTCATCTTAATAATTTACCAACGGAGCTAATGGGGCAGAATTAAAAACAAATAAACAAAAACAGCGGCCGACCCAGATCGGAAACATTTGTTCCTAATGAACATAAGAATGATCATAATTAGCACGATAATTCAGATTTCCCAGTTGATGTGAGAGGTGTTCTGTACATTTATTCAATATTTCTCCTTTTTGGTATGTATTCGAAAATGGCGTTTTTTGTTTTTGTTTTTTTTTTCTCCTGTGCGTGTGATTGTTTTGAGAACCATGGAAACAAATGTGGGAACAAAAAAAGTTCATCTTTGCACCAGAGCTTTCTAGACTGGTCCATGAGCCTGAAATAGTACAAACAGCGTTATGAATATTACATGAGACGGTGCACACAAAGGACTAAGCGCTATTATGCAGAGTTGGCCCACAATGGGTGCTCAATAAGACTGGAGTAATTGGTGTCTCTTTTCTTTTCCCATGCTACAAGTTTACTGTTTAACGTTTCCAAATTCTTCTGTTATTCTGACAAAAATGTTTTAAGATCCAAAGACAGAAATTTGGCCCTGCTTCCTCGACGGTGACCATCCACAAGTTTCCAACGCACTACTGCCAATTTCAGCACGGAAATCTGCACGCGGGCATGTTGCCCTGCTGGCATTTATAAGAAAGAAAATGTCTAAGTTTTGAAGATCATCTTACAAGTACATGGATTTGGTACAACAATCTTACAGAAGACGTCTACTTAACTGTTCCATTGTTTATGTCTATTGAAGGCAAATTTTGATGTTCTCTATCAATTACCTTGGATCATTATCTTGGATTAGGTTGAAAAACTATTAATCGTCTGAATATAAATTGGAGAATATATGGTAGCTGTATGCAGGTCTCTCACTATGCCTTTAAACATAAATTATTGAGAATGTACTAGTGGAATGGAATCAGGACCAAAATGAGTGCAAGTCAGTGAAAATGATGTGTGAATATTAATACTCAATCTAAAGAAAATGTGTAAATTGGTCTACTAATGGCCAGTTGCACGTCCTGCGAACAAAAGTCATTCAGTGTCAGTAAAGACACTTCTAACCAATAAGCACCTACTATTTCTTGTGATATTACTAGTTAGTTACTGGCAGACTTGTCAAGAAGGATATGAAAAATGTAGGAAAGGTGTGAGTTATCCAAATCATTAGGAGTATGATGCCCATCGACTTCATGGTGAATGAAAACATTTGTGGTAACACAGACGTATGTGCTAAACGTTGTACTTCTTCATAAAATTATATCAAGCTATGAAGGCAAATTGTTCATTGTAAAATTACAACTCCTCTATAAAACTATTCATATGAATCATTGCACAAATCACACAAATGGCAATCTTTTGCCAGGTCACTGACTCCAATTTAAAATTTGGAAAAGTCATGGTTACCATGCTCATTAATTTTTGTTATTTTTTTCTGCTCTTACCCTATGCAAAACTAAGAACAGAACGCTCTTCAAAGATCATGCATTTTTCTAGAGTAGTCAGTATGTCATGGATGTCATCATGCTCCCAAAGAGG